ACGAGAAGAGGTTGGCGGCTGTATGTCATGGTCAGGTATATCAGCAAAGGATGAGGAAAGATTTTGATAAGAGGGTACGACCTCAGTGTTACAAGTCGGGTGACCTTGTGCTAAAAAGGATAATTCTCCCCCAGGGAGATCCCAGGGGCAAGTGGGTTCCGACTTATGAAGGTCCTTTCGTGGTCAGAATTTTTTTCTCTGCAGGAGCGCTGATGCTCACGACTATGGATGAAGAGTACTTCCCTCTCCCTGTAAATGCTGACGTAGTTAAAAAAATACTTTGCATAAAAAAACCCGCTAAACTGAAAACCCGAAAAGGTGGTTTAGGCAAAAAGAGGGTGTCCTAGTGAATCGAAAACCCGAAAGAGCAGTTCAGGAAAAAGTTAGGGACTTAAAGCAAATGACTACGCTCAGCATGAGATCCTTTGTTTCTTTCCTTCATTCCGTCACCTGGCATAAGCTCGAAGGTAATCCAAGAATGATCTGTCTGAAAGCAGGAAGATGAGAGTCATAAGAGTCATAACAGAGTCGGGACTTGATGGATATTCACATTCACATTGCCATTTGTAAAGACTCGTTTGCTTTGATTTTGTAATTACTTGCTTCCAAATGTAAATGCCTTTTTCACAGGATGATTTCTCAAAATCAATAGAATATCTTCTTTCAAGTATACGTATACGTTTCTTTTTCCCTTTTTACTATTTTTTTTTTGCAAAAACGTCTAATATTTTGATAAGCATGTGCATATAAACTTCGTGGGCCTTACACAGAAATGGTAATCTAAGTCATGGTCAGTTGATCTCTTGAAACATGGATAACAAACACAACTACTACTGTGCAAGGGACATGATTGTTTCTCTGTTTGATGAGATTCTCATTCACTTTACTGGCGGATGCCTTGCCATTTTGTTTCACAGCTCCGTGCTGTTGGTAAAGGTCATGGGTCAGGGTAATGTCAATATTTCGACAGGTCGGCGAGATCGGCGAACCTAATTGGAGACATTTTCTTTCTCATAATGGCTTTTATTACATTTCTTTGCCGCACTTTCATGTGTTATCTTGATTGATTGTTTTAGCATTGTCTGCATATAGGATTTTGTTTATAGCCGAATGTCAGTCTTGATGCGTTGAATATTTTTTCCTTAAAAAAATATGTTTCATTTTATTTAATCCATCCAGTATCACTCTTTAATCGTATTTTCGGGCATTTTGATACCAATTGTGCCAATTCTTTTGCTTAGCCAAGAGTTTGGAGGAAGGAGTTTGGCTAAAAAAGATGACTGTAATGGTATGCATTTGAGTAGAACCCCGTTGATAATGTACAGGCATTGTTTCAATCCCCAAACACCGAAGATATAAGGGAGTTTGACCCTCGTTAACCCTTCTGAGCCTTCGAAGTAGGAGTTTCTTTTCTGTTAAAAAAAAACCTTTTTTAACCAGGGGCAGGGTAGATGTTCAGTTAATGTGACCAAGCATTCAAATTTCAAAAGGACTGTCCCATTTGAGGATCACCACATTTTATCTTTCGCATCATGAGATCAGGAAAAATGTCTAAACCATGATTGTTCATTTCCTCACAAAGTCCTGAGGTCGAGATCGAATCGATACAATAATGGCTATCCCTCGCCGACCAAAGAATGAGGCATTTGTTTTCTTCAAAAAAGAGATAATTAAAGAAAAAGTTCAAATACCTAAAGTCATGTTGACTTATTCGAAGTGGAAAGTAAGAAAAAGAAAAAAAACAAAAAGCCCCGCTAAGTCGAAACTTGAAAACAAGTCGCTTAGGCAAAAGTTAGGGCATCCCGCTGGACTTCCAAAATTGAAATTCAAAAGATTTTGTCCAGGCAAAAGTTAGGGAAAAGAGAGCCTAAAAGGCCAAAAAAAAAGAGAGAAGATTATTCAATAAAATTTTCATCAAAAGAAGAGGAACAATAATATCAAAAACAAAAGCAGCAGAAGTAAAGTGACAATCATGTTGGAGAACTTGTCGTGATCACTCAACCATTATGAATCCTTTTGAAAGATGAGTGCTTGTGATAGGTCAGCTGAACTTGGGATAGGAGAATATCACGAAGGGGGTGAGCACCAAATAACTTGAGCCTTGAAAAACTTTTTTCTAAAAAACCTCGAACCAGGCCACGTTACAACCTTTAAAAGTCCTAACTGAAACAAGGGTTTAACTCGAAAGCATACTACAACAGGATAACGTTTCCTAAACTCCCAAATATGTGTTGCATATCCATGCTGGTATCTTACCACCCGCATCTTAACTCGTTTTCTTAAAAAAGAGGGGAAGAAAAGTTTTGAAATTTTTGCACTCTAGCCAGTGATTCATTCACAACAGAGATGCGAAACTTGGTTAAGGTTTTCAACTTTGAGGCTTGAATAATCATCGCATCAGATCTGCCATTCCTAAAATAAACATCTTTCTGCATGCAAAACATTTGTTTGACATCAAAAAAAGAGTTTACACGTTGAACACCTGTAAAGAGGTTAATGATTGTCAGAAGGGAATATTTGGTTTTCTTCTGTTAGACAGATCCCGTGTATGAATAGGACTTTATCTATCCCTAGTGAAGTTTCGTTTGCACAGCGAAGTTTTGTTACCCCAGGAATCTTCTTTTAAAGGCTTCGTTCTGAGACCCTAGATTTGAGGATGTCGCATATCCCCAACAGAGTTGCCGACAAATATCCCTCGCCTTGACCTCTCATTTCCCAGCCGATCTGCTGACTGAGGCATCCTTATGTTAAGATCTTCCCTTATCCCCAATGAGGTCGATACTGTGTGACTATCTGCATGATCCGTCCAATGGTTGCATTCAGAGAAATCTCTCTCCAAAAAAAATCTTCAACAAAGTTCTGTCTCCCCAGTGAAGTCCCATTTCCTCAGCAGAGCTTTCTTCCCCCAGCAAAGGTTTTCACCTCTCACGTCGGATTTGTTGTCTTGGTATCATCCTCAACACGGCCATGCGCTGTCTTTTCCAGAGATTACAGTCTTGCCCTGATCTTCTCCCTCAATGTCTAATCTTCTCCAGAAGCTACAGTGTCGATCTAATCTTCTCTAGGAATTTGCAATTTATTTTTGCAGCTCCCCTCAATGTTTGTGGCCCGTTTCTACTAGTTGCTCGACTGTTATTCCACGCGAAGCTTCAGCTCTTCGAGGTTCCCTCTCTAGCGGTCCCCCATATTTTCTCCTCTCCTTTGGATTTTGCAATTTATTTTTGCAAGTCATGTCAGATTCTGACATCTTGGTTATTGGTTTCTCAATTAGCCATTCCCCAGTGAACTTTTAAACATGCATCATTAATTGCATCTACCCAAACGCGTAGAATTTCCATTATATGGAACATTGCACTATATAAAAAAGAATTCAAACATGCATCAGAACATAAGCCATTATTGTTTCTGTTGTCCCCAATGAATTTGCTAATACTTCGGGTTAAATCCCCCAGCGAGGTCTCCATCCTCATTATCTCAGTTTCCTCCCCATACCAATATCCTTTTGACGTCAATCATTTGTTTGTCGAGTGTCTACTCTTGACTATAGTTCAGTTTCGCCCTGGCGCGGTCTTCTCGGGTTTAGTCTTCACTACCCTCTCCGGTTCATTCTAATCTCTATTGATGCAACTTTCGAATACCAGTTTTGTCCTGATATTCGCTTTCAGCAGGTTTTTAGGTGTACGCCCTAATCTCCTTGTTTTGGGTTGAGCTCAGAGTTTCGTCTCCTCACCTTGCGTGTGAAATCCAGTTTCGTCCTGGTACTCATCTAGTTTAGTTTCGCCTAACTAGTTTTTGAGTCGAGTTTCATCTCGTTTTTGCTTTCATACCTTGGAACCTTTGACGGTGTTCGTTTACCGAGCGCAGTGCTCATACTGCATCCCTGGTTTGAAATCAGTCTCTTTTGTTCCTTGGATGCTTCTATCAGTTTTCGTCACTGTTTTTCCATCAATCTGAGACCAGCAGGTGCTCTGAGAAAAATGCGCTCTCATCACTCTCGCTTTGGGTCGAGTTTCACTGAGATTGTTTGAATTAGGCTTTTGTCCCTCTATCATTATGGGACCCTTTCTTCATAATTTGGGTTTGAGTTTGCTTGAGATCTTCCATTAACTACTTGCAATATAAGTCATTTAACTGGAATTCTTATCAAGGGCTGGAATAGAGAGAAAAAGATTATCCTATGGTTCATGGGTCAAGATACACTCTCTTATGCTTGCGTTCATCAATTTTGATTAGGGTTTCGACCAAGATCATCACTTAATGCACATCATGGATAAGGTTTCATTGAATGTTCTTATGATAAGAACCTGTGTCTAGTTGCCCGAGTTACAAGACATTGGTCAAGATATGAGACATGAATTCAAGGATACTTCCTCCAATCAACCGTTGCTTGAGATACAAGGATTTGAGAACAATTGCTTATGGTACAAGTTATGCTTTTTATACTACTAAAAAAAGACATTTGAGAAAAGGTTTTTATATCGGGTATCAAAATATATGATGTAAAAAATACAATTAACAAACTTTTTACATCAGGTATTTATTTGCAATGATATAAAAAATAAGAAAAAAAATATATTTCGCTACCTATTACATCGGGCAATCTCATCCACCGATGTAAAAGGTTTTCAGAAAAAAAATACGGTGGCATTTTTGTAAATAAGAAACAAGGTGGCAGAAATGTAAATAAAAAACAAGCAAGATATTACCATCGAGTAATAGGTTCCACCGATGTAATAGGTTACAAACCCTTACATCGGGTAATAGGTTACATTCAAATTCCCATCACCTCTTCATCTTCATCTCCCTTTTATCGTTTTCCTCTCTCTACTCTCTCATGTTCCATTCCACAACCACAACCCCAACCCCAACCCAACGCCACCCGTAATTCCAATGCCACTTCCTATTTCCCTAAACGCGGCCAAACCCTCGAATTGCTCTGTGAATCCCTCGCATTCAAAGGCAAAGGTCTATGCAAAGTCACCGAAACCGATTATATTGTCATGTGCGACCGTGCCCTCCCCGGCGAACGCTTCATCGGACGTATCACTCGGAAAAAGGGTAATTACGCTGAAGCTACTAAGCTTCAAACTTTAACTCCTCCTTTTCATACTGTATATGCTCCTTGTGTCTATGTTCCTCATTGTGGTGGTTGCAAGACGCAGAATTTGGCTTATCAAGCTCAGGTTAAAGCTAAAGAGGAACAGGTTTGTGACATACAAGATATTTCGATTCGTCTATTCCAGCTTATCTAGTGTCGTATATGCACTTTTGTGAGACCATTAAGAAGAATTTGTAAAATATGCTATAACATCTTCATAGATTCGGCATGATAGCTTATGCTAACACTTTATAGTTTATATAGAAACAGTTTGATTTTATAATCTATAAGCAATTAATTAAGCTCTTTATACAAACAGGTTCGCGACTTAATCATACATGTTGGAAGGTTTTCTCAGAAAGAATTGGAATTGCATGGGATTATGAAGCCTATTGTTCCTTGTGATATTCAATTTCATTATAGGAACAAGGTTGGTTAGTTAGTCAGTTATTACTCTGTTTGGTTTTGTTTTTCAAAAACTAAATGTCCGATGCAGATGCATTTAGTTGATAATTAAGATGTGTTGTGGTTTGTTTTCTTTCTTGTCTAGATGGAATTCTCGTTTGGTCCTTATAAATGGTTGCCTAAAGAGTTGCTGCACGAAGGAAATGTTGATGGTGGAAGTGAGAATTATGCACTTGGATTGCATGTTCCTGGTTTTTTTGATAAGATTATAAACGTTGACAAATGCTTACTCCAAACTGATCCTGCTAATAAGGTATGGAATGTTATTAATAATTTTTTTTTTTGGGATTCAATTGTTACTTGTTTCTGTGACAATATCCTACACTTATTTAATTTCCTATCACAACTGGGAAGTTTATTACACTCTGCTCATGTTTTGACTTGAACATTTGAATAGGTTCTTGCAGCTATTCAAGAGTGTTGGAGGGATCCACAACTTGGTTTCTCTCCTTACAATGTTCATTCACACGTAGGATTTCTTAAGCATTTGATGCTAAGAAGTGGAAAGTATTTAAGGTATGAAATTTGATTACGTCTCCTTGCCGCCGTTTCACATCTCCTTGCTGCCGTTTCACGTCACCTCGCCGCCGTTCACGACTTTTCACCGGACGATTCACGCCCTTCCTCGCTCGCCGTTTCAACTGTAAGTCACATTCTTCACTTATTTGATCCATAATGTGACTTATTCAAAATATAGGTTAGGTTTGCTAGTTAGTTATGGGTTAGGTTAGGTTAGGGATTTTGATGAGTGGTTAAAATACATCATAGGGGTGGAGCTTGCAGAAGATGTTTGTGACTAAATTTGTTTATTAATATTAACAGAGACACACACAAGTAAACAGTAGAGAGTAGTCACTAGTTCGCTTTTCATTTACATTTTATCCTTGAATGAACAATCACAACTTTAACTGTTTGGTTATAATATATTGGCATATATGCATTACGTTGTGTGTTAGTTTCTGTCTTTCTGACCAGGGTCATAACTAACGTGTGTTGTTGGAGTTCATTAGATATCTTAAATTTCATCTCCATTTCCTCTTCATAAGTTTACACCATTTTGTTCTATATTTATCGTCAGATGAGTAGTGCAGCAGGAAAGACACCTGCCCCGGGTCAGGCTATATACTCGGCTTCTAAATTTGCATTAAATGGGTACTTCCATTCCTTGCGTTCAGAGGTATATAGATAGTTTTTATTATCTTTGATGTTGTTTTATCCAACTATTATCTTACAATACACATCTTGCACCACTAATCTTTTTATGGTGGCAGCTCTGTCAGAAAGGAATCCAGGTAACTGTTGTTTGTCCTGGGCATCTTGCACCACTATTATCTTACACATCTTGCACCACTAGTCTTTTTATGAGACTCAATGTTTATGATGTTACACATACACATACATATAAATTTGTTTTGGATTCTACTTACAATGAGGTTATTTTCTCTCTGGGCATAATGGTATTTCAGGATTTCAAAGTCCCCTTCACCGTCACCCTGGAAGGCTCAATCAAGATCACGATCGAGATCAAGGTCGAGGTCTGTGCCTAGACAAAGACCAAGATCTGACTCCAGAGGCCGTGGCAGGTTAATAGCAAAAACGGTTTAGCTTTAAAGGGGTTATATTTTATTTTATAAACTGACTTCTCTAGCTCTCTTTGTTTCTGACACTTTTTACTTTTCTGACCTCTCATTATCACTCTGGAATGGATGGTTTTTTTCTTCTTTTTCAGATCAAGGTCTCGGAGCCCGGAAAGGTTGGTCCCTTTTCTGTTTATGTTTTTAATCCTGTTGTGATTCATTGCCGAAAGCCATACTTCTTAACTAGTACTTCTCAAAGGGATAGCTGTGCTTTTGTGTTAACTTGGGTCTATTGATATGCTATTAACTTTCATCGTATCAATTGTATTGCAGGGCGGCCAATCCTACAAATCCTGGTAATACACTTTATGTTACTGGTCTATCTTCAAGGGTCACTGAGAGGGACCTAGAGGACCATTTTTCCAAGGAGGGAAAAGTGAGTAGCATATCGGTTTTCTATTCATTTATTCAATGGTTCTTTTCTTCAGTAGGTTGCTTCCTCCTGGAATAATTTTATTCAAAGGTTGTTTTTTCATCTATAGGTTGCTTCATGCTTTCTTGTAGTGGAGCCACGTACCCGAATTTCTCGTGGTTTTGCTTTTGTTACTATGGATTCCCACGAGGATGCTGAGCGGTGTATCAAGCATCTCAACCAATCAGTTTTAGAGGGCCGCTATGTCACCGTAGAACGAGTAATGTGTTTACTTTTCACTTGTGACAGTGGTTGGTAAAACAAATGTACTTTTCTTTTCTTTCATCGATGCAAATATAGCGAAACTGCTAAATCAATGGCAAGCTTAGACAGCTAATCAAATGCTACTGATCAACTTAAACATATCAACTTAAATTCAAGTTTGGAAATTAATGTTCATTTGAGTCGGGCGCGACATACAAGTTTGTTTTGAGCACAAGTTCTTATGAAATAGTGAGATGATATACAAATGTTGAATTCAAACCAAGTTCAAGCAACATCTACATTATTTGATTCATCATCTTCAAGTTACAACATCATTCATGATTCAAAAAAATTTCATGATTATTCAAGTATCATTCATGTTCCTCTTGCAAAATTACAAGTTACAAAGAAAATTACACAAACTTTTTTTTATCCTAAACCTATGTTCCTTCATGAGTCATAAGCTTTCTTCAAAAAATCCACCATGCCAATACTTGTCCAAACATCGATCTGCACTATTAGTCCATACCAAACCTTCCCACATACACAACCAAATCCAATGCACAATAAACCGCAACCCTGTCCAAATTAACAAAACGGAAAATTAAGAAAAAGTACCATAACAAAAAAACTAGTCAACTTCGTAATATCAAGTTTGTTGTCCAAAATGACCAAACACCTTTGTTGCACCCAAACATTTACCCTCTTGATTTAGGCTTATGTTTCATCATGAATATCATATTGCATTACATTCATACATTGTGATGGGATCAAAGTACTTTGGTTATCAAATTTTCCTCAAGCTTTGAAGGTTGATTGCATTGACAAGTTGCTCAAGAAGAATCTTATCATCTAAACCTCTGGATTTTTCAAGCTCAAAATTTATTGCATATCTCAAGATGTTTTATCCATCTCTTTGGATCATCAAAGGATTTAAGTTTGTGTTTGATTATAAGAAGAATCACTCTTTTGATTCACCAGTCAAAATTAGGGTTTTGTTTGATCAAGGCTATTGATCAATGTAAAAGTCTTGATTTGGAAGCTACAATATCTCATTGGTATTTGAAAGGTCTTTGTACAAGAAAGTGGCCAAGATATCCATAGGATTTGAAGTTTTGAAGGTGATCCATCACTCTCCTTTGAGGAATCAATCAATTAGGGTTTGGCCCAAGTTGAAGTAATTGGGGCCTGGATGAGCCAATTCATGAAGCATAACTATCTTATCATCATTAGAATCAAATTTGATCAAAAATTCTCTCATGATGCCCAATGGAATTAGGGTTTTGAAGCTTGATCAACTATCTTCTAGTACATGATACAAAACTAGGGTTTTAGATTTAATCAGGATTTCTCTGACTTTTTCACCCAAACTTGTTTCCATGATTCACCACATGTTATTAAGCATTTAGGATTGAAAAATTAAGGTTCAATTTGGATTGGAAATGATTCAATTGATCAAAAGGGGCAAAATGGTCATTTTGGTCAAAATCAGTCAAAATCAAGAGTTGACTAAGTTGAACTTTGGGTCAACCATCAATTTAAGCATCCTCTTTTCATATTCCATACCCAAATTCATCTTTGAATCATGAGAAATGGTGAATTTGAGTGTAACTTGTTCAAGAAGTAACTTAAAAATTAAAAAAAAAATTCTAAGTGTCAAGATGACTTCTCTTGGGCAAGTCACGCGCGTAATTTCATCAAACACTTGGCATGTCATTTTGTGGAATCAATTTCTTGTGACTCAAGCCTCAATTTGAAAAATTAAAAAGAACATTTTGTTTTCTTCCATAAGAGCTTGCCATTGAACTTTGAATCATCCAATTTGTTCAAAATTTGAGTGAGTTATAATGCTTCAAAGTTGGTATCTCAAAGCTGGCTCCATGCATACCCATGCACGCGTGCGCCCTACAAGCCAAACAGTTCCTTTTCCCAAACTTGGTGCTAGCACATCTTACTCATTTTCAAAAATTCAAGGCACGTTTTATTCTCTATCAAGAGGTCTTTTGAAATGCCTCTATTTGGCCCAAAACGCGCGAAGGAATTTCGAATGGCCTTAGCATAAAGTCAGTTGGGCAGAATTGTGGACAACCATGGTCATGTTATAGAATTTGCATAATTTTGTTTTGATCGTTTTCAAGTTACATTTAGCATGTGTCTAGCACGTTTTGTTGCATTCTTTTCTTGTCAAATGAGTCCAAGCAAGGCACACATGAGGCATGACCATATCCTCTCAAATTTTACAAAAAAAAGCAAGATCATCTCATCTATTTGGCCCAAAACGCATTCTCTTGCAACCTCACCATTTTCACCATATTCCCTCTGATTCCATCACCTTTTACACTCACCAAAACGCACCAGGTTGTAGGCAAAGGTAATGTGAAACACAACCTATTTTTGTTTGTTTTACAAAAAAAATCAGAAATGCCACACTTGCCCTCCAACGGTTATCAACTATTTTACACTCTTGCCCTCACTCCTGAGTTGCTATATAAGCACACTCCATCACTTATTTTTCAGCACGCCGGATACACACAAAAAAATCAGATCTCAAAATTCTCCTCACTCTCAAATTTTCCTTCTTTTCGAAGCTTCATTATCACCCATTCCAGTCACGATTTCTTCCTCTTTTCGTGTTCATTGAAGTTTCAGAACAAGGATTCAAGGCTTTCTTGTTGATCAGAGGCATTGAGTTGAGTTTATTTCACACTCATAGGAGGTATTTTCAGACCTTGGTTCTTCATAATTTTGCTTGTTTCATGTGATTTAAAGCTTGTGATCATGTTCATAGCTGGCCAGATCTTACATCTGATGTATAAACTTGTTTGATTTTGAAGCATACACGATTTGGTGAACTTCTGGTTTTTCATGATTTAATTATTTTCTCAATTTTCTTGCTCTGATTTCTACTTCTATGATCGATCATTTTGAATTTTGTAAAAAGCATGATGTAGTTGATAATTTGAACTTTGATTTGTGATTTGAACCATCAATTTTGGTGGAGAAATGAAGTAGAAATCTTGAGTAGAACATAGGAGCTTGAAACTGAGAAAAATGCGCGTTAGGGCTTGTCTTGAGGAAGAAGATGATGGCGTGGCTGGATCTGATTGGTCCATGTGATTCTTAATGCAATTTTTTATATTTTTATTTTAATTGATTTCTTTTGATTTTATTTTATGATCAAAACATTTTCAAAAATTCTGAAAAAATTATCATAAATCCAAAATAATTTCTACTATCTTTTGTAATTTTATTGGAATTTTTAAAAATATTTTGATTGGTTTAAAAATTCATAGGTTTAATTAATTGTTTGTTCAAAGATTATTTTTATTTTAATAGTTCCTTTGATCTAAAAATTCCACAAAAATTATCCTTGACTCATAAAATAATGTAGAAATTGATTATGATTTTGGTTTAAGCATTTTTTTTCTATTTTTGATTAGAAATTTAATTTAAGAAGTTTATTTTGAATTTTTGCTTCATAATTTTTATTTTAATACTTCCTTTAATCATAGAATTTGAATATAATTTTATTTTGACATTTTTATGAATTTTGGCTAGGGTTTGCATTTTTGCCTTTAAATAATAGTTTAATTGTTAATTGTTTGTTTGATTTTTATTTTAATATTTCCTTTAATTAAAAAATTCCACAAAAAGTCAGGGATGTGTGTTTTTAATTCTAATATTTTGAATATAATTTTGGTTGGATATTTTTTCTGATTTTTGATTAGAATTTTATTTTGAGATGTGATTATTTGTTTAATTGATTAATTGTTTGAATTTGATTTTATTTTTGACTTTTCCTTAATTCAAAAAAATGTGAAAAAATATGTATTATGACATTTAGGGTTTCCTTGTGGTTTGCATGATCTTGGTTTGAATTTTTTGAATTTTGATCTTACCTAATTAATATTTAAGATTAAAATTCAAACAATTAGGGTTTTGTAGCTTACATTGCAAGTTTCATTTTCAAAACCATTATGCCCTGGATTTTAAATGGAATTTAAGTCTTGATTAGGGTTCATGGGTGTATTGAGGATCTGAAAACCATTTTTCTTGAATTATTTGACTTGGTTTGATATTTTTTCACAAATTATTTTGAAAGCTTGTCTAGTTTGGTAGTTTGGCCAACTAGTTTTAGACTTTAGGCCTCATTTGATCCCCTCCTCAACCATTCATGAACTTATGACTTGCTTTCTGACTTCTACACACTTCATAGATGCTAAGAAATTTTTGGTTTGAATTATTGAAATCCTTTTCTATTTTTGATGTATTTTTGAAGTGAAGGCACCCAATTGATGTTGCATATCTTGTTGCAAATTGTTTGATGGCTAATGAACTTGAGTGAGGCCTATAATTGGGCACCTAATGATCATATTGGATATGTTCATCCAAATAAACTCAAGTCATTTCATTAAATGCCCCATGTTTGAATGATTGAACCTTTTGATGCATTGTGTAGAATTCCTCTTCTATTATGCTTGTAAGCTGTGATGAATTAATTGTGCATGATTGAATTCTGGTTTCTACTGACCTTCATGGTCTTTGATTGTATTCTTCTCAAGCTCCCAGGATCCTTGATTGATATTCAAATGACAACTCAATATGGTGATAGAAAGGAGCAACATTCCTCTAACTTTTGACCTAATTGTGCATATGCCTGTTTCTTTTTGTCTACCATACCTAATGCTTTGATAATTGTTATCATGTTTTTCTCACTTCATCATGTTTCATCCATCCCTTATGTGAGTCATCATTCACTTTATGGAATACTAACTTGGCTGTTGAATGTGCGAGGTAGTTTGAGAAAGGTTTTCCATTTTTGACTTGAGGCTACTGTGTTTCACTTTATTTGTGAAACACAACTTATTATATTGGCACTACTCTTGTGCCTGGCATATTTGGTAGTCTATGTAGGATATATGTGTGTGGTTATGAATGCTATATATTGCCCATGGGATCTGTGCATATCTGAAAATCTCAATACTCACATCCTGATGGCATAATTTCTGACTTGATTTATCTGCTGATGCCAGCTTGCTTGAAGTTATTTGGGTTTCTTTTATTCTTGTTCAGTTGCTACGGATAGTTATCCGTTTGGTATTGCACTATTTCCTTTATTCTATCTTCATTTTTGTATAGTGTTACATGATGGGACCTCTGTTGCTGATATATGTCAGGAGGCCCTCTGTCTTTGTTTGATACATGTGTTGTGTTTGTTTCTTTAACTTTTGATCGATGAGTCACTCAATTTAGAAATTGAGATCACGACTTTGCTCTCAGTGCATTTTCCCTATAGGATGTTTATTGTTTTTCTTCTTTAACTTTTGATCGATGAGTCACTCAATTTAGAAATTGAGATCACGACTTCGCTCTCAGTGCATGTTCCCTATAGGATGTTTATTGTTTTTCTTCTTTAATTGTTGATCGATGAGTCACTCAATTTAGAAATTGAGATCACGACTTCGCTCTCATTTCATGTTCCCTATAGGATAGTTTTGTTAAGCTTCCTTTAACATGTTAATTAAGGTAGGGTTTTCCTTTATCCTCAACCTTAGGATCGATCATTGTATGATAACACTAGGGATAATGCTAGGCTAGTTTCCCTTAGTTGTTTTTCTTTCCTTTGCATTTTACATCTTAAAGCAAAAATTGTTTTCTTGGCAAATCATAAAACACCTCTAATAAACTCAAACCCTTCTTCAAGGTAAAAGATACAAATCAATCTTATTTGTTTGTGCGCCTCTTGGCTTTGTTTTTAAACCTGGTTTATTGATGTTTCACCATATTTGACATGATACCATGCTATCTTTTAGCCGATGTTTCGCCATCGCACATCTGTTTGAAGCTGATGTTTCGCGATCGCACATGTTTTCTATCCTACTTTGATTTTCAATATCATTGTTAGGTGTGATGTTTTGTCATCCGATTTATTGATGTTTCGCCATCTTTGACGTGATATCTTGTTATCTTTTAGCCGATGTTTCGCCATCACACATTTGTTTGAAGCCGATGTTTCGCCATCGCACATGTTTGTTATCCTACTTTGATTCTCAATATCATTGTTAGGTGTGAAATTTTGTTATCCGTTTCATTGATGTTTCGCCATCTTTGCCATGATATCTTTTTATCTTTTAGCCAACGTTTCACTATTGCATATTTGTTTGAAGCCGATGTTTCGCCATCGCACATGTTTGTTATCCTACTTTGATTCTCAATATCATTGTTAGGTGTGATGTTTTGCCATCCGATTTATTGATGTTTCGCCATCTTTTCCATGATATATTGTTATCTTCTAGCCGATGTTTTGCCATTGCACATTTGTTTGAAGCCGATGTTTCGCCATTGCACATGTTTGTTATCCTACTTTGATTCTCAATATCATTGTTAGGTGTTATATTTTTCTATCCATTTCATTGATGTTTCTCCATCTTTGCCATTATATCTTGTTATCTTTTAGCCAATGTTTCGCCATTGCACATTTGTTTGAAGCCGATGTTTCGCCATCACACATGTTTGTTATCCTACTTAGATCCTCAATGTCATTGTTAGGTGTGATGTTTTATCATTTGATGTTTCGTCATCTGTGACATGTTACCATGTTATTATTTAGTCGATGTTTTACCATCTCATTTGTTCGATTGTTTTATTTGATGTTTTGCCATCTTGACTATTTTTGTTGTCTTAACTAAAAATCCCAAACCAACCAAAATATGTAAGCCAAACTACGGCTGCTCTGATTCCTTAAAAGGGATACGTAGGCAAAGGGGTAGGGCCCAACCGAGTTCAACTTTTATTTTCCCTACATTGTTTTCTTTTTCTTTCACATGCATTCCCCTTTTATCTTTAAGCCATAGACATAGGACTTTGACCACACCCATTAGATTAGACAACAAGAAAGGATACCGTAGAGTACTACGGGCGCGTGGGGTGATAATACCTTCCCCTCGCGTAACAAACTCCCTTACCCGATCTCTCGGTCGAAAGACCGTGATTTCTCCCTTTTCAGGTTTTCTTGATGTTTACCTTTCCCTTTCGGAGAGATAAAAGACGTTCAGTGGCGACTTCATTGATGTTTCATTACATCCAAATGATAGGTCCAGCCGAGTGGTTTCAACCTTGTATGCCCAAGTGCCAACCCAAGAGCTGGTTCACATATAATACTATGCATCACTATAAACCAGCCTGCAAACCTGCTCATAACCAGTCCAAAATACTCTGCCCAAACCTGCAAAATTCTGCTACAAAATAGCCTGCAAAAACCAAAAGAAATACTGTCAAATACAGTCCAAAACATTATACAAATTTAGCAAAACATAACCTGCATCCTTAAAGTTACAAAAACAGAACAACAAAGTGTTTAAACTTATCAATGTTCCCTCCTAAATTTTCAGGAAATTTTGTCTATAAAAAAGAGAGAGAGAGACTACACGATTGATTCACTACAGATTCTATAAAGAAAAATCACATAAAACTCACCTCTCAAGAAGAAAACTCTGTCCTCAATCTTAATAAACAACTCCTCTCTCTGAACTGAATCCACCAAAAATTCAAAAATATTTCATCTCCTTCCCTACTACATCTTCATCACAGCTTTATATATTCATCTAGTCTTCCACAAATAATAACCATTTCATCAATCATCATCAATTCTTCATCGCATTCGCATTAACCTGCAACAAAATGCAAAACCAACAGAACATCAACATCATTATCTTTCTATAGCGCAACAACAACACCAATCCGCAGAACTCGCGACTGCAGCAATAGTAGAATTTCAGAAGAAGAAGAAGGGATAAAGAAACAGGGTACCTCTTCATACATCACCGAGAAACGTGTCGGTACCATGCTCTCGTCGGAGACCGCAACAAGTCTCCGGAGTAACACGCCCGATCCGGCCACCATTGTGCTCGTGGGTTTTTCGCCATCAGGTATCAGTTACAGACCTTTTCCTCTTATACGCACTGCTTTATGAATCTGATTTTTGTATAAGGTTATTTCTGATACTTGATTTTAAGTGTGAGAAAGGGAATAAACTGGGTTCAGTGGAGAATATATGAAGTATTTTGGGAGGAGAGTAAGATGCAGAGGTTGTCGTTCTTGTTGCTAGCGGATGGAGAGAGTAAGAACACAAAGTCATGTTGTTGTTGAAGTTTGAGGAACCGAAAGTGATTGAGATAGAGAACAAATCGATTTTGTTGTTGTATCAAATAGTGAATGATAGAGAAGAACAAAGGAGGTTTTATCATGAGTGAAGATGATGAGGCAAATAAATGAGGGAGTAGATTTGTTTGAGAGAGTGAGAATTTGAGAGATAAGATGGTATTGGTTTTTGTTTTAATCGTGCTATCTTGAGAAGATCAGAAATTAATTTTGGGATTTCCTCTTCCCAAAGAACAATCCGCGTCCCCTTTCCCTTCAATTTAGGGTTTACAAAACCCTTTCCATTCCCTAAAGAAAAACCAGGTTCGGGCCTATTTTTTTGTAGCCCAATACATTTCTCAAACTTTAGTTTTTGTATTAACGGAAGTGCGGAAATGAAGAATGAAGTGACATGGTGTAGCGGTTAGAGTGTGTTTATGATATGCGTGAGGACCTGGGTTCGAGACCCATAGGGAGCATTTTACCATTTTTCTGTTTTTTCTTGTTTCATTAAACTCATGGACCGTTTTTGTTTCTTATTTAATTTGAAAGACTATAATAAACAAAAAAAAAGTTAGTGCAGTGGTTAAGTAGTTCAAGTGTGACAAAAGGAACTTGGGTTCGATCCTTGGTTCTCATTCTTTTTTATTATAAATCTTTATTTTATTTCTTAGCCTTATTTCATTCTAAATTTCACATAAAAAATATAAAACATTAGTTTAAATTTATAATTATTTTCTTATCCTTATAAAAATACCAATATATATATATATATATATATATATATATATATATATATATATATATATATATATATATATATATATATATATATATATATATATATATATATATATATATATATATATATATATATATATATATATATATATATATATATATATATATATATATATATAATTTAATTTCTTTTGTTTTAAACAATTATTTTCTTTTCTTTAATAGAATAGGTTTTTATTTATTTTGTTTTCAAATTTTCTCACAAAAAAAATACCAAAAATATCATGTAAGATTTTTATTCTTGAATTTTCATTCATAACTTTTATTTGATTTAATTTCCTTACTTGGCAAAATCACAAAACAATTTCCCTTTTCTTTTTTTCGTGTAATTTACTATTTTCACATTTTTTTATTATTGTAACTACTTACGGTTTGTAATAGTTTAATTTGATTTTTTACTTCTCCCCCATTTTTTATGGTTTGTAACCCCATCCTCGAAGCATTGTAATAATGTAGATTTTATTTCCCGCACTTTACTTTCCGCACCTATAACTATTTATGTATGTATATATAACTGTATAGTAATTAGGCGTGTATGACAAGACATAAAATCAAATGATAGATAACCCTAATCAAGGAAAATTAACTAAAAATAAATCAATTTTCACACACGCACCTCTAGGGTAACCTCAGATAAAATAGTCATGTCCCTCGAACATGGGACACTTTAGCAAGGACCCTCAGTTAAAAGACCGTAGTCCCTCGATGACCCTTCGATGTTGCCTTCGGTGAACGATCTTAGTCCCTTACGAAAATTGGTAAAGCGTCCTACAAGTTGCCTTTTATGACTGTACGATGACCCGCGTCAGTCCCTCACATCCAACGATAGGGCTTCTTACTAACTAATGATAGAGTAGAACTATCTAAATGAGAAGGACAAGAACAAATATTTTTTAGTAGGTAGATCGCTCGTAATCTCTTGCTCACAAACTAAAACAATTTTCACACTTTCAAAAATAACTACTTTCAAAATGCTTTATAAACACTCTGGAGGACTGATATAAGGGTTATTATAAAGCAGTCTGCCTTACATTGGCATCTTTAAAACACTTTTCACAAAAACAATACTTTTCTGATAAATATTTTCAAAATAAACATTTCGTGTACATTCTCAACGATACGAGAATCATTATAAAATTTCCGCAGTTAGGCATTTTCAAAATATTTTCAAACATAGATAAACACAAATCATTTCAAAAGTGAGCTAGAGATTAAGAGCCCATAGATAACTACGGATAAAAAGGGTGCTAACACCTTCCCTTTTCATAACTTACCCCCCTTACTCAGAAAATTTCCAAAAGGTCTTTCCTATTCTTTTTACCCTTTCCTTTATTGGATAAAAGAAAAGTCGGTGGCAACTCTTGCTATCCGCAACATTTACGATAAAACACAAAACCTAAAAGTCAGTTCTCCCACTGTATCACAGAACTGGCGAATCTGCTGGAGAGAACTAAAAGTGGGGTTACCTTAAGAGCTAGATCACTTTTATTGCTTTACTTGTTTGCCTTGTATGCTTTATACTTCGGGATATGCTTGGGTTTATTTCTTGTATAGATCCTATACCCGGATCTGGGGGCATTTTAGGTAAGTAGCAATAGATCGTGAAAACTGTACAGTGTATACCGATAAGGTTGAAGCGATGGATACGTTAGTGCGACAAATTGGTTGGTGCAGGTGTCCCTTGATTCAGTCAAGGAGAATGCCGGGCTTCTGTGTGGTGTCATAAGCACTAACTGACCTTAGAACCATAGTTGACACAACTTAGCCATTAGAAAGTAGTGAAATGGTCGGATTTGGTGCAGACTAAAGTTGGTTGATACTCGATACTACACTTATTGAGGTCGGACTCTCGAGATATTTAGGTTGCAAATCAGATGCTTGTGCTGAAACAATGCTTGGGAGAAAGATTAGTGATATTGAGGCTCCTAGAACCCGATTACTTCTTTTAGGACAGGTTGAGCCAACTAAAACTTCAAGAGAGTACTTACCTACAAACTCCATGCAAGCTTAAACCTAAGGCCTTGTGTGTTTTGTTTGTGTATGATTAGTTGTTCGAAAATGACATCATGACATCATACCATATCATTTTCACTAACAATTCAAGGACCAAGAGATATATCTTTGTTCTATTTTGCAGGCTATGGCCTCCGCTCACAAACACTATCCGAATTAACTTTGTATGGGTGCCTCCGTATCTTAAAGAGTTAGTCTCAAGGGTTCCTGAAACTTCTTCATTCCTGAAACCTTCCCTGATCAGTAATGAAAAATGAACAAGGTTTGAGGTGGTCTCAAAGGATGATATCACTCTCTCATTTAGATATCTATTGTGCTCCCAATCTCAAGAGGATATTACTATCATTGACCGTTATGGGGAATTCCCTAATGTTCAACTCATTGGAATTAGGGGAGGTATTACCTACAACCCTTCTCCAGCTTTATGTCAGTTTGGTTATGCTCGAAGAAACGATCCTCATAACTTACTTATCTAGGGTATTGTGTTCGAGTACAAAAATGATCCTCAAGGTTATCGTCCGAGATTTATACATGCTTGGGGGCATGGTGAGCAAAATTGATAGTAAAGCTTTAGGTTAGAAGAACTCCATCCCTCTATAGCCCTACCTCAAATGGGTAGGAGCTCGTGCTCAAAACCTCATGATGCCATATCCAGCTGTTATACCAGTAATCATAGAGCCTGTTGTCGAAGGAGATGTTTCTCGCACCATCCTCCATCCAGACATTCCCACTGGCCTTAAAGAATTGCAGAAGTCCTGGATTCAACTCAAGGAAGAACGTGACACCTTTGAAACTCAATTCTATGCAAGTGAAAAGAAAGTGTTAGAGCTCACAAAGCAACTTCACCAGGAGCAAAGCCTTAATGCATACATCAACATGAATAAGAAGCGTTCGTGGGAGATTTGAGTCTTAGGTTTTAGAAGTTCATATTGTTGTCTCTGAGACCCTTTTGTTTTCATTGTAAGCCTAAGAGGCAATTGTAATTTTGAGCTTATTAATGAAATATTTGTTTCTGTTTCCTCTTGGCTAGAAAATTTAAGTCTCCTAAGGTCCTTGAAAACATCGCATTTACATATCATGCATCATTACATAACAGGTTTTCCACACAAGTTTTCTCATCAACCTTACTATTTACTTGAGTAAAAGATTGCTCTCAAACAGACCGTTAAGGAACTCCAAGCTCAGCATGCACAATTTCAAGAGACTCTTCTGAGTCTGGAACATGGACATAAAGATCTGATGGCGCTTCTCGCCAAGAAGAAGAAGACTAGAAAGACGACTGTCATCCTCAAAATGGGGAGAAGATTCAAAGGTCCTGCTCAACTGGTTCAAGTGGATAATGTTTCCTCTGAGGAAGACGACAACCAAGAGGAGGATGGTATAAGTGTCAGGGGTGAAGGTAGAAATAACCAGGGTTTTGAGAATATTTCTGAAGATAAAGACTACTTCGACGAATAATACCCTCTTGCAGATAACAAGTACAAGCAATTGGAAGACCGACTTAAAGCTATGGAAACCCAGAAAGTGCTTGGATTGGATTTTGGAGAATTAGGTCTGATCCCAGGGGTGGTTATCCCTCACAAATTCAAAGTCCCCGCCTTTGCTAAATATGATGGGGTCTCTTGTCCCAAACTTCATCTGAGGCGTATGTTCGAAAAATCTAACCTCATAGTGCTGACAGGAAATTATGGGTCAATTTCTTTCAAGAAAGTTTGTCCGACACTCAACTTGAATGGTTCTATCAACTGGAAGGAACCAACATTCACACATGGGAAGACTTGGCTGCTGCTTTTTACAAGCAATATCAATATAATGTTGACCTCACACCGACTCGTGTACAATTGCAAAATATGTCCATGGGCTCGAATGAAGGGTTCAAGGAGTATGCACAAAAATGGAGGGATTTAGCTGAAAGGGTGCAACCTCCCTTATTTGACTGGAATTGGTTG